TATAATTTCATGTTCATTATGGGTCATTTGTCTTCAAACGTTACTTTTATTACCCCGACGTCAGTTCTGATCATCACTTTCAAGAAATGCCGGTGCAGGGAGTCACATCTCGAAAGCCCGGGACGATATTAGAACAATCCTCCCAGTCGGAAGTCAAGGGCAAGTTCAACATGGATGGGACCGAGAGAGTCGTGACTGTCAGGTGCAACGTGTTCAAAGAGATGTGTGTACGTCGGCTTTCTGACCTTCCTCGGAGAATGCCTCCCTCATGAGAATCCCAGACGTCGTGCTGTTTCTATACGCGTTATCATTTTCAAGGGTTCGGAAAGAGGAAAAATAGAATCAGAAGATGATTAGGTGGAGGAACGGGAAAACTGTTGATAACCGGGGTTTTTACAAAATAAAAGCTTTAAAAAAAGCAAATTGTTTCTTTGCCTGACATTTTAATCATGGAATTTTTATATGGAATCTTTATACTTTTGAGGAATGTCGTTAAATACATTCTAACATTATGGAAATATCAGTTGTAACATTTTCCTTTCTCTTTTTTTCCGTAAAAATTAATTGGATCGTGTTGAAACCATGCAGTTCTGAAATACTTTTATTAATTGTAATTATTTTATTTTATTTTTAAAGCTAATGTTTTATTTATTTTGTATTTCAGGTAAGACGACCACTGCGAGAACTCGTTCGAAAGAACAAAGCTGAGAAAGCACATCTTCACCCAGCTGGTGCCGAACCCAGCTGCAATGTCTACTGAAATGTCTGAATATTTTTTTCCACATTTAATCGTTTCCATAGATGTCGAACTTTATAAAATAATTTATAAAGTTTAAAAAAAAACAAGAATTAATTGTGAAATCACTGTTAAAGTTTTCGCCACCACACTTATTTCTAAACGGAAAACTTTGGTTCGAAAAATTTCGTGCGCGTTTCTATCGAGCGGGAAGGCAGTGCATCCAGTCAAACAATTGATTCAGTTGACATTCGTTATGACATTTCAGTTGTTAATTAGTTGTTACATAGGCGGCAATTTGGTTTTTCAGATCCAGTTGTTAATCGGGGTAAGTGTTTTTCTTCTAATTTTCTAATAAAATTAACTTTACAGGTTTTAAAAGCCATTGTTTCAAAATAGTTCAAATCGATTTCTGGTTAATCAAAAATCAACAAATTTTTGTAGAAATAACCCACACATGGACAAATAGATCCATTTTGTTTTGTTACCAAACTACTAAACACAGCTGTACAAAAGAATAAGCAAATCCTTTCCTTATTTTATCAGGGTTCACGGTATAATTTTTTTTTTAATGTGACAAAACAGTTGCCATCATTTACAGTTCAAGTCAGGAAGGCCTTAATTAAACGTACATAATAATTTAAAAAAGTAGGCAAAACTATAAACATTAAGGCTACGAAGGTACGTTTTCTATGAAAAATTTACATTACTCCAAACATGAACTGCATCTTTGTCCTACGTGTAATACAGATAGAAAACAAATTAACCACACATAATTTCCACTTAAGAAACTTGGAGCGAAGGGGCAAGGTCGGATAGCAGGTTTTACACAAATAATTAGTCCAATGTGCTGTGAGCTTTGAAAAAAAGAAGATATTTTTGGTAGACCAATACTCAAATTGCACGGTTGCCAAGCCTCTCCCAGCTTATAAACCTGGCCAATACTAATGGTACATTTACGTCCAGCATCCAAGTGGGGCAAGAGACTAACTCATTCCATCTGCAGGAATTGCTATACAGAGTAGATTTGTCCTTACCCTACTTATATCTCTGGCCAACCCTGTTGGTACTGCATGCAAGAGCGATCATGTAGAACGATGAATTACCATAAACTAGAAGCAAATATTAAGTTTAGGCATTTCGTTTTCACACTTACGGGTGGGTTATAAGTACGGTGAGGCTAGGGACGTTCATTCTATCTGCACGAATTTTTAATGCCGCAATACAGAGCTAATTTTTCCTTACTCTGTGCAAAGGTGTTCCTATAAAAAACTAACCAACATCGTACTAGAAGCAAAACCATAATTCGTTTTTGATCAGGTGGGAAAGCATAGAGAAGCAATGGACCGATTCATTCTAGGTTCTCAAATTTAACCCTACCTATATTCAGCGTTGATTTGTCCTCACCCTGCTTTAATCCTTGACCGACCTCTTAAGACAAAATGGCTTTAATGTTTAATGCTAGGATGCTAGGAAAGATTCGAACAGTTCGAATCTAATTGCCTCCTTTTGACGTAGAACAAGTAGTTCTGCAGTTTCCGATCATTTTTATCTGTTGGAACGTGTGGCCTAGCATCCCTGCTGTATACCCTGGCCAACACTACTAGTTTATATATAGCATACAACTAGAAGCTGGCATTAGCCATGCCAATATACATTGTGTACCATTCAAAATGTAATTTGTATATGTTATCCTTTTAAAATGTAAAGTATTTCGATCAATCAATTCAGCATACAAAAGTAGGAGGGGCATATACACTAGAAAGCAAACAAAAAGTTAAACTAGGTGCAAAGAAAAAATTAATTCAGGCGTTTCGTCGTTTTTAACTTCTCTAAATAAAGATGGTTGATCTATCCTGATTTCATTTGTTCTCTCCTAGCATATAGCATGTACGACGACATTTATACATATGGAAAGCTATTCGAATAGAAAGAAGAATCATAAAAATTTTTCGGAATTTCGCAGTCTTCGTTGTTGACCAGGGGTTTAAGTTGGGTGAGGCAAGGGACCGTCTCGTTCCATGTTTGTTTCCTGTCAATTCAAACAGAATTTATTTGTCCCCGCCCAGCTTATAACCTTGGACGTAATTATTAATACATATACCGCATGCAAAGCATAAAAAATATAACTTAGGAAATTCGCCGTCTTTAAGTTGATCGCGGTTATAAGTAGAATGAGGCAAGGGGCTGACTCATTTCATCAGCACGAATGTCCTTATTCATCTTTTATCCTTGATCTTTATTGAATATTTTGGTTACCCTGTCCTCGCTGGTTTGGTACATCAGACGCGTTTTGTCTTCATCTGGGTTATAGTCAGGGAGAGGCTAGAAATTCGTTGACTCTACCCATTACAGCCTCTGAAGATGGAATATAGAACTCAACTGACAAACCCAACCAACGAAGAGGCAGTCCAAAATGAACGAAAACGCCTAAACTACATAACTTTATAGAGTTATTATGTAACTTCTTTTTGTATGTAGCAATACACATTAATTATATTGTGTGGTGATTAGTGACCGTTAATCGATAATTATACAGAAATCGTGGCAGGCACTCTCAACATGACACGCAAGAATGGCACAATTACACAGAAGACAAACACTTTGAGCCCTGAAGATGATTTCAATAAAGATCGAAACGTTGGCACAATAAAGAAAATGTTTTTTCTGAAACCTACACCAGACCGCATCTCACGATTTCTGTATAATTATTAATTATATTGATATTACAAAAATTAAGGCAACTTGAAAAGCAAAATTTGTAGTATTCTCCTGATGAAATAATATCAGATTGTTCAAACTCTTCTGATTAAAGTCCACCCTAATTTTCCACTTATAAATTTCTGAAAAGGAAAGTATTAAATTCAATAATAGTGTGCATTGACACATTTAGATATGGATTTAAAACTGATTATGTTGGTTGAAAGGGTTTTTTCCTCAAATCTTAATTTATTGAAATTTCAAGAGATGTTTGTGCAAGTATGTAAATCAGATTTTCAAAAAACCAACATTACATGAAAACTATCTATTAGACTATACTCATTCCATGTTCCATGTCTGAGCATTCCCCTGAGATTGTAGATATCCCTAAGAATTTCGGATTGAGTCCGTTTATATTTGTTTATATGGAAATTCACTTAAATTTTGCTCCCAAGGGTTTCCGGTGTAAGCATGTTTTACTTTTCTTATGTGAAAATGGCCATTTTCTTCAGTTCTAATCCTTGGTCAGGGAACGGATAAGCGGAAGGGCGTGCGAGAGGTAAATCCCAAAAACGTCACACATGGTAAAAAATCGTCTTTTATAATTTTTAAAATTTCAATTTTTTCCTAGTGGGAAATTTTTTGTACGAGCCGAACGAGTTGTAGCATCGACCCGTATCCCACCCTCGCACCCCAGTTTCTCCCCGAGATCTAGTTTCCTCCGCCAGATTCAGTTACATGTGTTTCTAACATGTTCAGCCCAGTTTTTTTGTCTCCTCGCTGTCTGTACAGCTTGTATAAGCCGGAGCCAGCTGCTAGAACATCTTGTGTTTGCAACTTGTTTCAAAAACTATTCTAGACGAGGCTAAAAACCAATTTATGCACACATCAAACCACTTCGTGCGATGCCTCAAACGTTTAATTTAATACTAACCCGAAGCTTATATTTGAATAAAATTATATATTCACGCTCTTGCTGAATTTTGTATTTTTTGATTTTGAGAATTTGTGATGTGTGGATGAGACATTTATCGGTATGAGTTCGGTTGAGATTGTGTTGTTGGTCGGTTAAGCGTTTGTCGCCTTTACATTGCTTTTTGTCCAGTTTTCTCCCATTCTTATTCATTTACAACAGCTGTTAGATATTGAATTCAAGGATGTTGAATCTGGGAATCGGTACCTGAAAGCCTACCTGCATTCTTTGATCGGATAGAGAAATAGGCCCTGTCTCAAAAGCAACAGATGTAAGCTTTTCCATTATTATAAAACACGAGATATAAGAGTATTCTAAAAGCCTGTGTATTCAATTCTTAGTTGGAAATGTTAAATTTTAGTTTGGTGTTAAAACCAAATAATTTTAAATTTGGCAATCATGCCATAAGAAAACATAATTCTCTAATTTACCAATTATAAATCTTTCCTTCTATGTAATAATTGTATGTTTTCAGGGGTATATGATGTAAACGTGCGAGTTTAAATATTTATCAAGATGAATAGTTTTCAAAATGAAGTACTTGGATTTGTATGATAAAGTCGATTTGAAAAAAACAACGAACTATTCCAGTACGTCTAGTAAGCATAAGTTTTATTTTATTATAACTTAAATCCAGGCTCTTTTCTGTTTAGAGCGCGTGATCGGTCGTCATTAGGAGGCATACCCCTTGAAGTATCCAGAAGCTGGCGTGCGTAGGGATCGGTAAAGAAGCCTCGAATACGAATCCGACTCCCATCGCGTTCCTCCTTAAGGACGTCATGTAGACCGGCGTCGGCAACAGATATGGATCATCGCTCACGCTGTTCTTGGAAGTCGGCGTTATGGATAAGAGCGGAAGGTTGTCTATTAATATTTTAGGATGGGCGTTTGCTATGCATTTCTTTTTGTGGTCCCATCGAGCTCCTTCCAGAAATAAACCGGAGATGTAGCATCCGATCTTCGGTTTTGCATCCACGTCGTCTTCCCTCGTGAAATCTGTTACAGCAGTCTTGATCGACGCTTTGTCCAAAGACCAGGCCTCCATTCGGCAAGCTTCTTGTACCAATGCCGTGAGGTAGGCCTCGGGAAACGATAATCCTGGCAACCACATGACTGCCGGCTCACCCATGGCAATCCATTCCGTGAAGAACTGGTTCCTTTTCGTGAAGAATTCTATCCAGCTCGCTAGATTCTTCGTCGTCTGTTGAGTATGCTTCCTCCAGTCGTTAGGCAGTTGGCCGTTGTAAAGACTGGTCGAAATGTCTTCCAGCACGTTGTCCATTCCTATTTCTCCTTTGAGAGCTTTCTGCGTGTTATTGAGGGTCGACTTCATCCTACGCACGAGAGTATTGAATTTTTCCAATTCCTGCAGTAGTACTATTTTCGTCGGTTTGGTGTTGTTTTCCAAATTCATCCGCAATCTTCTCAGCTCGTAGGGATCCGGAATTACTTTTATAATGTCTTCCGCCAAATTGTGGATCATCTCCTCCCTGCTTATACCTGACGCGCTGAGGACGCTCTGAGGCTGGAGGTCTATCAACGTGTCCCACATTTCCTTCGTCGCCTGTGTGTAGTAACCGATTTCGGCGTTTCCGTGCAAGCCGTAACAGCCAGGCGGGCAGATCAAAGGAAGGGTATTTATGTGCTCGAGATATTCTTCTTTTGTACTCGGCGGTGGGATAGTTATAGCGATTGTCTCATCATTGTAGAAGTAGAACTGTTGAAGCGCGTCGAACACGAAATCCCCCATGTATTCGTCCATGTATGTGGCTACAATGCGACGATCGTAGTGGTCGATGACTCGACCTCCGTACATGACTTCCCCTATGAGATACTTCAAGCTGTTCCAGGGAACTCTCTGCTCCTCCGACGAAAGAGCCTTCGTAAGGTACGTGCTTAAGATTTCCACAGATACCGCGAAATCGCATTCGCTGAAATCGTAGTTTATATTCCAACCCACTTTGTCGTATTTCCTCCTTTCCTGGATGACTGCGTGGAAAAACGCCACGATGTAGACTAGCGTTTTGAAAGCGGGATGGTCCGTCGACGACAGGACACTGCTTTTCATTTTGAAAAATGTGTTCCTCAAGTTCAGTTTCAAACCGTTCGGAGGCTCCATTACTACTTTGAAACACGACTGAAGGACCCCGATGGGGAAATTTTCAGATGGTTCTGTGGTAAGCCAAAGCCGGAAGTTTGGATGTCGTTGTACGATTTTTTCTAGTTTCTTTTCTAAATCACGCATGAACGGGAGGAGCAAATGACAATTCTGTAGCATTATCCATTCGCCCATATTGATCCCTTCGTCAATGAGCTTGAACGCAGGGGCTTCTTGATCTTGTCCCAATGATAAATACTTGAACTTATCCCGCATCTGACAGACCTCGGATAGTTTCATGATTTCACCGGATGGATCAGAACCGGGGCTCAGTATGAATATTATCGGAGAATTGCAGGTACTTTGCTCGTAAATTTGATTAATACTCACGTAAGGCGGCGTGATATACTGTTCTCCCATCGTTTTCAGAATAAAATCTGTCACACACTGGTAAATTCTATCTATTCTTATGCATCTCATTAACATCAAGATTTCAAAAGGGGTAAAATTATTGCCATAACCATTAGGCATATCTACACCCTCCGGATTGTCCAAATCGTACCATACTTTCCATTGTTGTGGAGCAGAATCGAGCTGTTTTAATAAAGTTCCGAACGTGCTAGAAAACTCATCCGTCAGTTTTAGAATATCGTTCCAACCCTGGTTAGTAATCCATGGATAAGGCTGCTTCACTGTTGATTTTTCAATCGCAACGTTTCCTTTTATGAAAAAGTCCACCTGTTTTTGTGTAACGTTCCCTTCGCTCATTTGCAGTTTCACAGCGATTTGGAACGAAAGAAGGAGCTTGTGCTTTTCAAAAATTCCCGTACAGCCGTAGTCGTAAATCGCTTGGGTCAAACATGCTATTATTCGCATAATCCTTCTTGAAAGTTTTGAGTCAGGGGGGGTTTTTCTCAAAGCATGAGAAAATACGTCCAAATAGGCATTTAAAGCGTATTGGTACATTGGATTTACTACTGACATATCAGAAAGAATGAAAAACAAAATCGCTCCTCTTTGTGCTACTGGCCTGTAGCTATTTCTCAATTTTTCTATGTCGGCTTTTGTTTTTGATCCCATTTGAAGCTTGGACTGAACCTCGGTAGCGTTTGACTTGGTATCGTCCAGGGTTTGCACTAGATCTGGATTGTCTAACATGTTCCCCGTCGACGTGGCCAGTTCTCGGAGCAACGAATCTTCAAGTTGTTTCAACAATTGTTTATTTTGGCTTGTTTCGTTTATGAGGTTTTCTCTCATTTCTTCTAAATCAGGGCGTTCATGCCCCACAACAACACTCAATAACTGTTCCTCCAAACCCATCAACGTTACGGAATAATTAATGACAGTCGCTGTCGTGTAAACTGAAGGGTTCAAATTGGGGTTTGGTAATTTCGTCGTGAGGTACATTTTAAACCGAGTGTCATATTCCACCTCTTTATCGCCAAGTTCAATAAAATATTTACCGTAGTTACCCTTGATATTTTTTTGTATAACGTTGTCCACAATTGGATCTATGTAGTCTACATCTTGAAACAAGACTGGATGTCCGTATTTTATAGCCAGTTCCAATAGCTTCAAGAATTCCGGATCCCCGAAGGATAAGATTTTTAAATTTTTCTTTGCTTCCTTTTTCTTAATCCAGTTCAGCGCCTGCTGCTGCGGATCGATGCATATGGGAAAGCGCGAAGCCGACATCGTCAATATTCCGTTTTGAATTGACAATTCATCGGGTGGCAGGCCTTCCGAGTTCCAAAGACTTATCGTCACGTCGTCCGTAAGATGGTGTTCTATCTTGAACGGCAGCGATATAGGCAACTGCGCTTCTTTGACTATATTTATCCAATTCCTGTACAGCATGTCTTGTCTGAATTCCCAGCTGAACGGTCCGGTGTAGCTGAGGAATGCCGCACTGAGAAAACAGTTTCCAATAATTTCTTTCTTGTCTATTGCAAGTTGCGCGAGGTCTTCCAGCCATCTGGCATTCTCTCTGCCTAGACCGGAGAATAGTTGATCAGCCGCATTAAGTCGTCGCTTCATTATTTCGGTTTCTTCCTGAATTTTAATTTTTTCCGCATTGGCTATTGAGTATCTTCTGTTTAATTCTTCCAAAGTTTCTTCTATTTTGTCGATTTCTGTGTTCAGCTTGTCAAGATATCTCTCCGCCTCTTTATACTCTTGTTCCAACTCATTCACCTTGTCTCTTTTTGGTTTGATGTCCTTATAGGCGGCACAGTAGGTCAAGACGGCTTCGACGAATTTCAGCAGCCCCATCCCTGCACTGCTGATTTTAGCCATTTCGCCCATTTTCTTGGACGATTTCAAATGCGCCTTTACTTGTTGTAGAGTCCTTTGAGGGATCACGTCGCAATTCATTTCTCGAAGTTTCATTAGGTAAAATGGGTCCGCCATAAGACCTTTCGCCGCTTTCCAACTGACTTCTTTTATACCTCGTAGAAGAGCGACGCACTCGCACACGACTTGAACAGGCTCGGGCGGAGTGGCGAAGGATCTAATTTCCGTGATATCGTGCTTATCCAAATCCGACAACGCCAGTTTCGCCGCTTCCAGTGCCGGCAGAGCTTTGCTCAACGCCTTCTCCGCTTCCTTTTTCTGTCTTTTAATCGTCTTACTTTGATTACCCATTTCGGTCTGCTTCTTTTTAGCGAGTTTCTTCTTTTCCGTGGCGACTCGAGTGGCGTTTTCCACCTCCGACATAAGTAAGTCGGTGTTTTTGGTTTTCTCATTTATTACTATTTGCTGTAGTGCTAGTTTTTCACTCAGTTCGTCTAGCTGGACGCTGGCTTCCGCAATTTTTTTTAGACCTCCTTCTAAACGTTCGCATTGGTTATCGATGCTCTCCGCCTTTTCTCCCATCAGCCTCAAATAGGTTTTGATAAAATCCAAATAGTGTTTCGGGGTCAGGTAATTCTTTCTTCGAAGTTGCAGGTGAAAATCTTCCGTGTATTGGATCATACTTAAATGAACTTGTACCAATGATTCTATTATGGGTTCTTTCACTTCCTCCGCAATCGTATCAACGTCTTTGAAGTATTTGTTGGCGACTGCGTATAAAGCTTCCGTCGGCCATGGTAAAATCCAATCGATGGTCGTATTACTAATGAGACCGGGGAAACTTCTGCACCTCGTCCGCAACGCGTCACCTAGAGGATTCATCGATAAAACGACGTGGAGATTATCTCTACATTTGGTTATAAAAAACTGCCAACACGACTCTTTGAGGACGCTGTAGCCTTCTGCTTTCGCTGCATTTCGTACACTACTGATTATTTCGTCTTTCTCGTCGTCGGAAAACAAGGACGGTATGATTCCAATTGTCAGGATATTGTTGATGAGCTCTAAAAATCCTTCTTCGACTATATGCGTCGAGGCGAATAGGAATGTCGTCGAGTTTTGATCTACACCGACTGTCCTGTATAGTTTTTTCATGTCCTCTTTGAAATGGGATTCGGAATACCCTCGGCACAACACTATGCCGAAATTGCCACATTCTGCCGCGAAGGAAGCAAGCTTGACTATCGAAGCTTTTCCACACCCACCCACTCCGATTATCATCGCGTGGCCTTTATGCATTCTTAGTACTCTGTGTATTCTGGTCAAATGGTCCAAAGCGTCTTCGAAGAGCACGAGGTTCATTGTGTGGTGTTTTTCGTTATATTCTGTCGATATCCGCGTGAAGAGTTGGAACACGGTGTTGTAATTTTGTAAATCTTCGTAAAATCGCGGTTCGTCTTCGATCAAAGCGTTTCTATAATCGCCGTAAAGCAAGGGGTCTTTGAGAACGATATCGGATTGGGCGGCAAATTCCATTTCTATCGTCTCTTTGGTTAGCTCGTTCATCCGATTGTGATCTTCGTCGTTAATCAGCCTATCAAAGAGCACTCTGGTGAATTCGTTCCTCCAGACGCGCAGGAATCGCGAATCTGACAAATAATGATTTTTATGGGTCATCAGTAATCCGCCGATTATCCTCGAAATATCTCTGAGATTGTAAATGTAGTGGAATTTCGTAGGTGTCGGTGGTAATTCTATTACGACTTTTTTATACAAATGAATGGTCGCTTTAATTATTTCAGTGATGATTGTTTTTACGTCCTCGCTGAAATCACTCGTATGGCCGGCGAGTATGGAAACGAATATGTGTGTAATAGTCGAATCTGAAGGGAAGGTCATGTTGTAAACTGAAAACAAAGATATGAATCTCGGATCCATTTCATTTCTTCCTCCTTCGGATTTTCCCATTGCCGCTAGAATGGACGTGTCTTTTATTGTTTTCCATTGCAATTCTTTTCCGAGATCGTAAATGCCATTTCTTTCGACCAATATCTTTAAGAGAGCAATCGGCTGCTGTGTCCCGTAAGCGTCGAAGTGTGGCATGTTGACATCATCGATAAAAATTATTAGTTTTTTGCCGACTGGCGGCCCGTAGACGTCTTTCGTGCGCTTCTCGATGGTCGATTCGATATTTCTCTGAACGTCACTCGATGTTGTCCTGGAGGAGAAATTTAACATCAGCTGGACGTATTGATCGTTGTCGAGGCTCCTCAAATATTCCATGATGACCGCAGTTTTCGATGTGCCAGTCTCTCCTACGAGGATGGCAGGTCTTTTCACGTGTGTCATTTGATGGAGCAACCAATGGATCTTGGTCGAATCCTCAGTCGGGACTAAAATATCTCCGAACTTTTTGTTTTTGTCATGCACGTACGGGGGCACCAGATCCCGCCACGGTATCCAAACGGCGTTTTTCTGATCCAGTTTGTAATCGTACAAACTTGGCATGGCTTGAGGTAGATAGGATACGGTCGCACGTTTTTCAGGCGTGTCTTCGACCAACGGCAAGCCTGCTATTTTCTTCACAAAAGAATCGAAGTGAGGCCTGTCTTCTTTAACGATCGACGCTCCCAGCGATAGATATAACGCTTCGATAAACGTCGCCTCAGTCATTTCTAGTAATTCGATATTTTCGTTTTTTCCGGTTTTAGAAGTTTTCCGCTTTTTGACTTTTACCGATTGAAGGGACGACTGCTTTTCCGGTTTGCTCCCTCTCATTTCGTGATCGGATCCTGGCAACATCGCTTCCAGCACAAAACAAAGTTGGGTAATCAAATTCAATTCCGATTGAGGGATAATCGTCCTCAAAGGATTCCACTGTTGAAGTCCGGCTAATCCGCCGAAAATCATCGATAACGTACGAATCACATATTGTTCGAAGAGTGTGTTGAGACAATGTCGTTCTGCTCCGTCTACCCTGCTATTAACCCAACGAGTCCAATACGGTTTGTAACCGAGGTTCTTCCGCTCGACATAGACCATCCCAGCTCGTGAGACCGTCGCCGGAGAAGCGTATTGCAAGTCGCCGACTTCAAACACCAATGCGCACGAAGGAACCATCCTTATCCTTTCTCCGTTTGACAGTGTAAGGAGTTTATTATCGTCCATAACCGAGTTCATGTTTTCAATCCACAACGCGTCTACGTCACCATCAAAAACAATGTACTTCTTCACGTTTGCTTTTTGCGTTCTGTTTACTTCTCTGAAGGTTTTCGACAGAAGTCCATCAGTCCAGTCTCTCGTCAATGGGTTGACGACTCCGTACAATTCGTTCACCGTGACCGATTTAGGATTGAGCACGTATAGTTTTGTTATGGTTCCGAGTAATGTTTGCGCCTTCGCCAAAATATTTATTATGACGGTCTTTCCACCGCCGGTCGGGCCCACGACCATTACGGAATGTCTGGTCATCATGGTTTCGTACAGCTGCACTATCTTATCTATTTGGGTTGCTAATTTTACGTAACCTTGCTCGTCTAATGATTTTTCAACAGCTTCGATAAATTCAGGGTAGGTCACTCTTTGGCATTGGAGACCCGGGAAGAGATCGTTAATCAGACCTGTAAACAAAGGTATGTCTTCGTTAACAAATTTCGGGAGGTTCATATCACGGAGCGCTCTCATGAGCAACACATCTTCTGGTAATTCAGGAGAATTTCGTTTAAGCTCTCCCGCCATCACAAGCACAGATTTTAAAGCTCGTAAACCGAAGTCGTAATGATTCTGTTTAGACAGTTGTTCTTTAGAAAGTTTATACAGAACGGTCATTTTTTTCGCCAAGACTTTTGCCCTCAGAAATCCTTCTGAAAATAACATAATCAAGCAGATTTGCTCAAGATCTGGTATAATGCAGACTACAGGCCGAAACAGTGACTTGACAGATTCGGGCAGTTCCGTTCTTCCTGCGTACCCGGGATTCATCGTTATAAACACTCCTACTTTCGAGTCTAAAGCGATTTCGTTCGGTCCCAGTTGAAACGTCGTCAGTTTGTTTTGTAAGGCGTTTCTTATCGTTTGAAGCTGGGTTGATATGACGGAAAGTACGGATATGTCAATCCTATTAAACTCGTCGAAACAGCCCCAAGCACCGCATTGGCACAGCCCGTATAAAATTTTCTGGAATCCAAGGTGGTCCATACCTTCGCCGCAGTTCGTCACTATGCACAGCAGTCCCATCGCTTTCGCGAGATCTTTAACAGTTTCAGTCTTCCCGGTTCCTGCGGGTCCCGCAGGCGCTCCTCCCAACTGCATAGATAACGCTTGTGTAATTGTCAGGTATATCCTATCCGTGAGTGGTGTAATGACTAACCTACCGTTCAGACCCATATATTCGTTACCATAATTAAACTCCCCGGAGCACTGCTTAATAATAAGCCCGTCAACCGTTTTAACCCAGTAAAATCTCAATTGGCTCTCCCATGCAAACTCTTCTCTGTCTGTAATGTTGTTCGCGATGAACGTTTCGACAATGTCCCTCGCGTGAACGTCTACAGTCAATACGGTTGTGCATTTTTTCCTTTCGTTTTTCGACAAATCTCCCCTTACTTTGATTACGATTTCATCCAGTTGGTTGTTGAGTTTGGCCCACAGATTTTTCATCGCTCTGTTCTGACCCTCTGAAAGCCAACGGAAAGAATATTCGACTTCGACCGTCCACCAAACTCCGTTTGCGGCGAGGACGGCCATGCCGATAAATTGAGTCATCCAATTGCCTCGGGGTTGGCGTACCATGCCGAAGTCGTAAATAGCATGCTTGTGAGTGTATTTGTTATTAGCTCGCATTTCTTCCAACACTTTATTCATCCAATTTTCGACTTTGTCCGTTAAGATGATAGAATCGGCGAATTGTAGAATTTCTCCTTCGCACGATATCAGCCCTTTAATAATCGGACACTCTGCTTCGTTTTGATTCTCCCAAATAAACTGTAGCATGCAGACGTTATCGAATATTTTGACAATGTGCTCTTGTATCGAGGTCGGGTCGGAAGATCCGAGAATCGACAATAATTCGTCGTCTGACAAGAAAAAGAACCTGGCAAAAGCATTTCTTTTTTCGTTCAAATAATCTATCAGCGATTTTTGACATTTGTCCAAACCGGCCGATAAACTGACGATTTCATTTAACCGGCCTTGTTTCAAGCATTGTTTTAGTATAGAGGGCGTCTGATGGACGTCTTCCATGATTCTCAAAAAACTGTGATCTATGTCGTCGAATTGTCTAGCTTGTGAGGGAAGCTGCTGTCTTATATCTCCACCAACAAAAATGCCTTCCAAATAAATCCATTTCCTTTGTAGATGCGTCCATTCCACTAAAACTTCGTTGACTAGAGATAAATTTTTCTCCCATTTGTGAATGTCGTTCAAAAACGGTGCTGCGAACTGTGAGCCTCCCATGCTCTGTAGATTCATACAACCGTCGTCCAGGGTCGTTAAAATTTCGTCTATTTGACCGAGTTTGTACCCTCGTTGGACGTTGTTCTTATTTACGTGAGGAAGTATCGGAATTTTCATTTGTGACCAGAACTCTGATAATTGCTGTATTCCGGACTCGATGAGAAGCTCTTTCATGGCGTTCCATACGATTTCCTCTATTATTTCTTCATACAAATGTAGGTTCATATTGAACATATTTTCCAGGGTAAAAGTTTCTGGATTGATAACGAATACTTTTCCTGTCCTTTCCATAAGCTCTTGCCAGTGCCTCGGCCTGATGGCGGGATGTTTTAATTGGACCATCAGAGGAACCGTGTGTTTGAAGTCTCTTATATTACGATCGATGGCAGTCGCAATTGGCAGGTCTCTCACTTCTGGAGGCAGTTTTTTTAAATCTTTCAGGAATTCCTCGATCCCATCCAATAACCGCGAAGGGACCAGATTCACCCACAGATGTTTGCTCCAATGCTCTCTGAAAAGCTTTTGCTTTCTATAAATTTCATATACTTGCTGCGTTTTCAAGAAATCATCGTGGGCGTTGAGGAAAGGCATGAGATTGGAAGGTTTCAGGCAGAAGTTTCTTTCCGCTTGGGTTATCTTGATTCGTCTTGTAAGCAATTCGTTAAATTTAACTTCGTATTCGGGTAAAATATCCAAACCTTTTTCTAGATTGTCATACTGTGCCCCAGGACCTTCTTTCTGGAACTTTTCTGCAAACGCTAGGCACTCTTCTTTGAAGCTTTCCGCCATGGCGGCCGTTATGTTGTGGAATATTTCTTTCACCGGCGCGAGAGCTATTGTTCTGTATATCGCCATTAACCGAAGTTTCGCATACTTTCTTCTCACGGTTTTGTACATTTTCTTTTGTTCAGAAGGCACGTAGCATTTCCAAATTTCGACAAGATGCATTCTCTCGTAAATGTACTTGAAACCGCACTCGGCTTCGGGTTGGATGTCGCCGATCTCTTTGACCGTTTGCAAAATCTCTTGAAAAGACTCTAAGTTGATGACGTTTTGTCCCAGCTTTACGGTCATGTCTTCGAACATTTCGTACAATTCACTCGCCTTCGTTTTTGCGGCGCCGACGAGATGTCTGGCCAGTGTATTCTTCCATTCACCTGCGATCGCGATTATATTGTGCACGAGCGGTTTTACTTTGAGCCTTATGCAATAAACATCGGCGAATCCTTTATGGTTGTTCATCAAAAGTTGTATACTGTTGTAAAACGAAAAACATTCGTCAAATTCGGAAAGCATAGGCTTGTCATCGTAAAATTTCTTCATTGTTTTGGAAGCGCTGATTTTCCACAAGTGAGAGTATTTCTGCCACTCCAAGATGTAGTCATCGACTTTGCCGATGACAAAATTGATTGTCTCGTAAACCTTCTCGATTAGCTTCATTACATAACCGACTTCAATAACGTCGTGGACATAGGAATACCTATGCGATACGTTAGTGGTCAGATTCTTGACGAAAGGCACTGGATGGCAAGTGCCGTCAAACCATCTTGGAAAATGGCTCAGCCTTTCTAAAAATTTGTCCAGGAGTGTAGATAAAGAATGTCCCACTATAGATAAAGTAGGTTGAGTCTGAATGTCGTAAGGCCCGAGCCTGACGGTTATCAGAAACCTGGACTTTTGTTTGCCGATAATAAATTCTTGAAACAATAAGCAGTTTTGAAGTACCATATTTGTCAGCGCTTCGAAAAACGTGTTTTCCGCCCACCTATAGTACAAAACCATCTGTTCGCATTTGCCGCTGTATCCCAGACCGGCGACCATTTCTAGCTTGCACATGGCCGGCGTCATCCTGTCGAACTGGGAAGCCAGCACGCTTTCGGATTTCAGCATAGATTTATCTACTCTGCTGAAGAAACTGGAAAATGGGACCACTTGTTTAAAATTCAAAGAGAAAAACTCGATTTTTTCAACCACTTGAGCTATGGTCGCGAGGGACCTTTCTACCTCTTTAATTTGGGACATCACTATTCTCAGTCTAGCTAGTTTAGAACCAATCAGGGTGCAGTATTTAAGTACGCTTATCGAACTCCAAGTGTGCTCCGTAAGTCCGACATAAAGGAGGCTTTCGATTTCTACAATAAAATGCTTGAGGGCGGCTCGCTGCGGCTCAGACATTTCGCTCACGAGCTCCCTGTAAGAATTGACGACGGTCTCGACTCTGAACTTCTCTATGTGAAGAAGCTTTTTGAGAGTTGCTAGGCAGAGAATCTCCTTCGGGACCGGAAAGCCCAGTTCGTCGATCATTTCAGCCTCTCGGACGATGCGTTGAAAGTTGGAGTCAAAGTTAAGTTTTATCGTGTAGCCATGTTCGCACAGAGTATCTGTGCCGATGAATTCCCTCCAGGGATAACGTGTCACGTCGTGGCGACATCCGACGTAGACCCTCGGCAGAATCCTCGTCGCGCCGGCCTCCAAAGTCGCGACAGCGTCGTTTATTTCCATTTCCGTCTCTTCGCTCGAAGCGTTAAAATTTCCTTTCTTAGATTTCTTAGCATCCACATTTAGCTCTTCCATCTGTTTTTGCTTCTCTTTTAACAATTTCTTTTGGAAATCTTTGACTTCGTTAAGTCTCCGCTTAAAACCTGGGATGTCAATTCGTTCCACCTCGTCTATTAGTGTGTCTTTAACTTCCTCGAATATCGTGGCATCGAATTTCGGCCTTTTGTATTTCCGCTCTTGTGCTTCTTGGGCTACTTTTTGCTTTTTGACTTCTGTCTTTATTATTTCTTCGTGTAAACGTAATTTTTTATCTTCTAACTTCCTTTTCTTCCGTTCTAAAATTTTCTCTTTCTTTTTGTATATCTTTCTTGCTTTTTTAACTTCCTTCTTCACTCTTGTAGCCATTTTCTCGTGTTCGTCTTGGGTTACTAGCACTCTAATCGGTTTCTTTTTACATTTCAGCCTGATCTTTTGCAATTTCAGTTTTTCCAACTTTTTATTCAATAAACGAATATGTTTTCGAGCTCTTCTCACTTTCTCCCTCAGCCTCCGCCTTTCCGCCCTTATTCTAACTCTTCTCATCTTCTCCGTCAATTTACGCTTTCTCTTCTCATCTGCAATTTTCGCCAGTTCTTTAACTGTTTTACCAGTTTGCAACCTTTTCATACTTTGATCCATTTCCACTAATTGCGGTTCTACAGTTTTTTCCTTATACATTTGCTTTTTCCTTTTCAAGATTTGTCTTCTTTTAGCGCAGTATTTTTTTCTTCTGTACTCCAGTATTCTTTTCCTCCTCTTCCTAAGTTTTTTCAACCTTTTGCAACACTTCCTCATCTTAGCAACGTATAGATTTTTCAAATAACGATAACGCTCTTTTCCAGTCAAATTCCTCATTTTTTCTCTATGCCTCATCAGTTTCTTTCTTATTGTTGTGATGCTGTGTTTTTTTTTCGCTTTCTTGTTTTGCTTTCCATCAGCCCTCTTCGTAGGAGAGTACGGCCTTTTTAAATACATTTCTGATAGGTCCTCGAAATTGTCCCCTTGGTCCGTACCGGCAGATGTCAGAGATCCCACTTTCACCATGGCCATTTCATCGCCATTGGGCTCGTCTTTGACCGAACGGACATCGGGTTTTTCTTGTTCGGAAACTATCGATGCCGTATCTTCTTGTTTCCCTAATTCTGGTTTTTTCTTTTCTGCAGCCGATTTTTCTCCTGGTTCCGACTGTGGCTCCCTTCCGATGAGTTTCCAAACGTCTACTTTTTTTTTATGTTTGCCCGACCTCATTGCCAACACTTCTTGCTCGTATTTCTGATCGAGTCCTGTGATGCTGTACGCCTGGGTTTCTGTCATGTCTAGAAGCTCTTCTACCAAGTTGTTGAAATACTCAGCTTTCAACTGTTCCTCTTCATTGTCATAAAACATCCTTTCGAATTCCTTTTCCGCCCTGCGGTAGTTGTACAAAACGTTACCTCTTTTTTTCGACAACAACTTCAGTCTCATCTTTTTCGTGAAAACCCTTTTTGTGTTTTCTTTTATTCTTTGCACATAGTAAGCGTACGGTTCAGGTATCGTCAATATTCTTTTGCCATGGTGCACCACTTGCTTTTTGACGTTGTCGCCGATGAAGGCCGCCTTACCTTCTTTGACCATGAACGAGGACGAAGAATCCTTGTTCTCTAACCCTTTCTGTTCGGCAGTTTCCTTTTGCCCTTCTTGCGTGGGAATCATTTTGTTGTGGTGATACTGCAACTCTACTAATGAGAAAACCGGTGGCTTTTGCATAACTTTCATTCTCTCTAATTTTTTCTCTGCGTGGAAAGACATATCACTGTCGTTTTCCAAATCTGATTCGGTGCCAATTTCGGGACCCGGTGTAAAATAACGTTCGTCGTAACTCGACCTAAGTTTCTTTCTAATGGCGTACGAGGCCGAGTCTCCTTTGGAAGGCAAGATTTTTCCCATTTCTATTTTTGTTTTGCTTCTTCTGCTCGCACTCTTTTCGAGGAAGGTTTCAGATCCCTTTTTCCCTCCTCCTAGTCTTTTAGTTTCGGTTGTAGACTTGTACGGCCTTTCGGCTTGGTGCGGTTGCGTACTATAGACGTGTGAAAATAATATTTCGTTCGGCGCAAATTTTATGTCTATTTCACTAGAAAGACTGGATGCGTCTGTAAATTTCCCCTTCTTCCTCATTAGCGATTGTTTCTTTGCCGCCGGTTGTCCTTGTTTGAGTTTGTTTATGAACGTCCTCGGCTTTATGAATTCTAGAGAATCGGACGTGGTTTCGGATGTGGAAAATGCAAATTCGTCTTCTTTCTTCCGAAGTTCCAGGAGATCGTTTTCTGACGTCGCGAACATTTCACTCTTGTCCGTAAACGAAGAGTCCGTCGAATCCGAGTTACAGTTGTAAATATTCAGACTCTCCCCATTTTTGACGTCCGGCCGTTTGAATACTTCCTGGTCCTCGAATTTTACAGGGCCTATCGTTTCGTTGAACACTTTTTCTTCTACTCCGTCCATCTTGGGTTGACTGTAAATGATTTTCATTTCTGGAGATGGCTGTAAATCGATGGGGTTCAGAACTTCGTTCGAATCACCTCCCTCTAAGAACGAGTGCAAACTTACTTTTTTCTGTTGTGGTTTTATTAACTGTTTTTCTTTTTGTTGCACTTCGTTTATTGAAGGTTCGTTTCCATCGACGCCCTCTCTGTTTTCTCCTTTTTCTGTTATGGATAAAAATCTGTTTTTGAATTTATTCTCTTTGTATCTTCCAGCGATTAGTGCGGTAACGGCGTCTTCTAACGATTTTTTGTACAGCACGTCAACGGTATATTCCTTGGTGCCTGAGAAAGGCACAATGTTGTCGTAGTGGCTTTTCTTTTCGTAAGCTTTAGTATTAACTACGTGAAAAGATGCCACCCTTTTTTGATTTGTGGGTTTTGATTCCTTTTCTTCAAATTCTTCATCGAAAGGTTTTGCGGCCTGCTTCTGGTAAAGTATCTGAACTTTGTTAGCGTTTATTCTTTCCATCTCCGTGTGAGAAATGTCCGAATGGGTGTCTACATCCGAAACCACGCAAGTGACAGCTTGTGTCTCGTATATTTCACCGGATTTCCTGCCTTCTATAGGACAAGGGAAAAACCCGAAGGGTACTCCTCCGATGTTCAGATATATGCCGTCTTCGTCTGCGGAATTGTCGGCACCGACCGAACCGATCTGAGTGCTCAAATCCGATTCGCTTTCTGTGTGGTCTCTTCTTTTGGCTATGACAGAACATTCGCTTACTGTTTCCGTTCCGCCCGAGCTATAGGTATCGTCGTCCGTTTCGTCCTCTTCGATTTGGCTATCTTCTTCCCCATCCGGCTGATCATCATCATCGGCTCCAGTTCTGTTTTTCGTTTTCCGATCCTTCACAGTGTCGCCTATCGATAATGAGCTGCTGGACGCCTTCGAAAGTTTCGATTCCAATTCATCATCCGAAAAATAGTATTCATTGAATTTATTTTTCTTTTTTTCTTTTAAAGTTTCCCTCCCCGGGAAAAGCAAATTGAAAAGATTCGGCGTGTTCCCTTTACCTTTCGGATAAACATCGACAGCCATTTTAACCGCTTCCTCTTCTCCGGAAGATAACTCGTTGTCCGTGTTTTCAAGGGGCAATTCTGCGAGCTTAATAAGGTTCCTCCTGAAGGCTCGTTTTAGGTAAGGCAAGTCGTTAATCACCCACTCCTTGAAAGTGACATTTTCGTAAGCTTTTAAAAGATCTACCAAATGTTGAAATTCTCTATATGTCTGTTTCTTTTTTTCTGACTGGGTATCGTCCAAAATTTCGTTGATGCCTTCTAAAGACATACGGACCGTGGCAAAAAGGTGTCTCGTCCAAGCAATCGCTCCTGCGAAGATGGGATGCCTTCTCATTATCGGTGGTTCGCTGCATCCTTTCGCGAACGTGTCTGTGATTTTCGCCACCTCCTCTCTGAACTGTATCAGTACGTCGTCCATTTTCGTCATGAGAAGTTTGAAAATCTTACCCCTTATTTCGACTTTCTGAAATAATATGAGTAACGTAACGGCTCGACCTGAGGACCTCAAGTGCTTGAAGGCATGTTGTATAACCCCCAACGCGACTTGCTCTAACTCTTCCATCCCATGCCAAAAATCGTCTACGATCCTGTTCCATTTGGTCGTATATCTATAGTGGAATATATCGAAATCCGCTGATTTTATAGGGATTGTCAGATTCCAAATCCTTTTTATTATGTTCCTTATTGGCGAAGATTCTATGACAGAATGGACGAATTCGGGGCAGAATATGGAGAGGTACTCCTGCATCACCGTCACCATGTCTGACAAGGTTTGCGCTATGTATGCTATATAATCGGTCTCTCGGAAAAGTTCTTCTTTGTCGAACTCCCATCTCGCCTCGCATTCCGTTTCTTCTATCATCTGTCTTGTTTTCATGTAGATTATTTTCCAGAATGCCATTAATTCCGCGGAGCTCGAACAAACTTTTTTGATCACGTCCAAATCCATGGAGAATAATTCTTGTACATTCAGGATTCTCTTTATTTTTGTGGCTACCACCCATTTGATTCTATCGAGAAGTTGGGAAAAGTAATATTCCGCCCCCCAGTGAGGAGATAACACCCACAGTATTCTAATGTGTTCGAATACTTGCGGTAAAACTTGAGCCATTTCGCTCACTTTCTCGCATTTCATGAGAAGCCTGATTTCTGAAATGGCCGTGTTGAGGTAGTCCGTGTTTTCGAGGGAAACTTTGTAATAAGCTTGGATCGCGTTTCTTGCGTATAGGAAATCGTTTAAAGCGTTTGATTCTGTCCAGGAGAGGACTTTAAGAATTTTTTCTACTATGGGATAGTGCAAAGATTCAAATACAGGTGAAAAAGCCGTAGCTCTCAAGGCCCAGTAATCGTAAAGCGGTATCGGCCCATGACCGCTGGGACTTTTCTCCCTGACCGATTCCAGTAACTTGAAGATGTACTGTGCCCAAGAATTTACTATATCTTCTAAAGCCTGGACGTATTCTGGATCTTGTGACAACTCGTACATAGTCTCATCGCTTGCTTTTTCCAGGTCTGGCAGGTCAGGATACTCTATTACCATTTTATTTATGTGATTCCTATGACACCACATGACGAAGTAGTTAAATGTTCTTATCCTCTTCATGAATATATTGTAAACAGGATGCATGTAGTGGGAAGTTTCTTTCGTGAGGTAATCCGGATCGTCTTTTAATTCTTTTATCGTTCTAATCTTCTTAAATATCTCTCTTACCTGTTCGGGATATTCGTTCAAATACCCTTTGACTATTTCTTGTGGGCTATAGGCTACCAGCTGTTTTCTGCCCGGAGCGTTCTCTTCTCCTTCCTCCGCCAGGATTTCCTCAGGCGTCGGCTTTTCTTTATCTTCGTCCTCGTATTTGATCTGGGTTAATATTTTTATCATTCTCCTCGCGAAACCTCCGCTAGATTTTATGACGTCCAACGGGGGAATGTTCCAAGCCGCTCTACGAGGCATAGGCCTTTCCTGACACTTCGTGTACGGAATAGGGCTAAAAGCATCGTTGAAATTCACCGCGAAATGTTGCTCATAGACCATCATCATGGTTTGAAAGCTGTGGAACAAATCTTTGTCCAATTGTCCTATCAAGAAATAAGCCGGCATTTCAGCGCACGCCTCTTCCCACGTGTCCATCACCGGTATGCCGTAGGAAGTCGTCAGGAGGAAATAGAAATATTTGGGAACCTGCTTGAAGTCCAGAAAAACGTCACCGCTCTTGCAGTGCAGTTGTGCGACAAGCTTCTGTTTTCTTAGAATCCGCTTGAACGTGACTGATATCATTTCTGGTTCTTTCGGCTCGACGATCTCGACAGCCTTTTTCTTCTTTCGCTTTTTCCCTTTTTTTCCTTTTTTCCCCTTTTTAGGCGTCTTTCTTTTTTTCTCTTTGACTTCTTCTTCTTCCACTTCACTTTCGTATTCTTCTTCTGTCTGGCCTTCTTCCGTTTCTTCCAAACTTTCTGCCACTTCGGAACTCTGTGGGATGCTTTTTGACTGGGACAGAAGTAAGTCGTACCCGGTTCCGAGGAGTGAAGGAGGCACGTTCGTCGAAGTGGAGGGTTTCGATTTTTTCGCCTTCTTCTTTTTCTGTTTCTTGGCCTTCGCCGACTTCGGCGGCTTTTCCTGCTCCGGCCGTGGCGGTGTTACCGGCTTCGGGACCAGCTTCGAGAATATTACTTCTTTATAATATGTCTTTGGGTAGAAAGTTTTATAAACATAGAAACCTGTACGTTCCAGTGCCCGCGAGCTACGCCCGGTCCCACGACGGAAGATGTCCATGAGGTGCTTCCTGACCTTGCCATCGTTCCTCGCCATCATCTCCTCGACGGCTTGCGTAGGAACGGCAAGATGTTTGCTTATTTCTCGCACGACCCATGGCAACCTATAGTCGCAGACGCCCATGCCAGTTTCTAAAGAACCGTCCATTAACATTAGGGCACTGTGACCTGGATGATCGTCCATTTTGAAACTTTTCTTTGCATAAAAATAAAAACTCGCGCGTTACAAACAAACAAAAGACTACTATTAAAAAAACAAATGTTAAACTGATTTGATTTTGTTTTATTCATTCTTTTGTTTTTAGTTATTTGTTATTGTGTATTTCATTTTTTACGATCGAAATTCGGGAAAAATGATCTATAGCATAAGCTTACAAATTAATACAACAAGCATTACTAAAGCAACATTTTTTTTTTACAAGAGCAATTAAAATTTCACATATAAGTTTATATTATACAAAATAATAAAAACAACTGTTAAGTATTTTAATTATCGGTAGTCAATTCCCAAGTGTTATTGTGCGCTCATAATTCATTTCTAAAAGAGGAATGTTATTACAAAACTATAATAGTTTGCGTTGTAAATCTCTCTTATTTTTATTGATGTACATGTACGTTTATATTTTTAATTTAAATATGTAAAAACCTTTAAAATACATACCTGACCAGATCATTATATAATATTTTAGTGCAGTTTTGGTCTTTTATTTTGCTACGGGGGATTGCAGCTCTCAATTCAACAACGATTATTGATCTCATGTCCTCCAGTCTTGCTAACTACCAGTTCTTCAGATTTGTCCTCTTATTGCACGGAACCTCGGTTCCACGATTTCCAAATTTGGGCACACATTTTAAAAAAGGGCTACCGTTTTCTACCGAACCGCCCTATTCGTAGTTTCAACCGTTTTACAATGTTTAAATCATCCGGGCCCGAGAGACGCCTTTGTCGGCCCTAAGCACGGTTGGTAGGGGACCTTTTGACACGAAGACTTACGTGAGAACCTAAGTGGGGCCCTGTTCACCGCAAAATGCGACTGTTTCGTTAATCTCAAAATCAAAGGCTCCGGGGCGATGTGGGCTGAAAGGGCCAACTAAGGGCAATAATTAGACCTGAGTGTTTTTTAAATTTGATAGCAAAAATTACCAAGCAAAGTCACCAAATCTCTCTTCCCAATTTTCCATTTAATTCTTCCAATAATGACAACAAAACAATGCAGTTGAAAATTACTCAAACTGTATCAATTCTCTATTTCAAAAATCCAAAGCTGATCGATATCAATATTGCACCTACTTATTATAAGTCAAGGAAGGTGTTAAAATCAACTAATACTTTGTCTAAAGTTTCTCCTTGAGAAAGTTTTGGAAAGAAAATAGGTCGACTTTTTTATTGCCAACCATGGTGTTGTCGTTACATTTCAACACCTGCTTCGTTTCCGTTCATCATATTTTTACGTTTAAGACCGAAACCCTTTCATGACCCAAATTCGTAGGCGTTTCGGGTCAACAGGTGATGAACCGACATTGTATTGTTTTGGGATATATCAACAAACTGTGCAGTCAAGTTTAGTAACTATGGATCACTACAGAGGTTTAATTTTGATTTAATTACCACGTATTGATTGCTTGTAATATGAGATGTTCATAAAAGACACAGGTGAAGAAAAGAAGCATCCACAAGATGGGTAATGTAGGATAAAATTCAATTCCATCAAACTTTCAAATTTCCAGCAGGACATTTAATCAGATAATATAACATATAGTGTCTTTTTACTTGGGAATTTTAAAAAAAAGGTAAAAATTAGTAATGGTGAAGAGATGAAGATCACAAAACTTACGACCTTTCACATTTGATCACTTTTTACAGATGAAAATTCTCTAAAGTTATGGCATAAAGGGCTCGATAACTCATTTACCACGATACGCCTGTTGCCTAATTTTCGTTATAAAATGTGTCGCTGATAAAGAAAACTCCACCTATACTTCCTGGTTTCATATACTCGCACTCAATGGAATGTAAAATGGGTTATTTTACATTTAAAGCTATCTGGATATCTGATGATTATGCACAGAAAAAAATCAAATCAGACGAGCTAAGCGATAGCTATAGCGATAACTAGCGATACATAAGAATAGTTAAAGAAATGTTAGATCTGCTATTAAATTAACCTCAAAAAAACCATCTTTTAGTTTGATAAGTATGGAGTGTTGACAATTCAATTGAGTGTTAATAGGTTCGCATTTTGGAAAGGTTAAGTGTTTCGTTTATACGCGCTTACATGAAAATCTTGGAATTCTTAATCTTAATAACACTCTAAACACATTCAACACGAAACAACAGACACGTTACTATCCTAATAAACGTTTATAAAACGTAGTTTTTCAAAAATACTACTGACAGTTATCATCAGAACAAAACAGTACCCCACATGTAAACTTTGGTTCCGCCAAATAAACATTTTGTAATTTGTGTGGTGTTAATCGATATTTATTTAGAAATCGTGAGATGCGGTCTGGTGTGATGTAGGTTTCAGAAAAACATTTTCTTTATCGTGCCAACGTTTCGATCTTTGTTGAGATCATCTTCAGGGCCTGGGATTTACAAACATTGTTTACTTATAACAATTACATTTTGGATGTGAAAAAGTGAATTTATACAATGCAAAATATATTTTTAAAAAAATGTATATATATTTTGCATTGTACAAATTCGCTTTTCCACATCCAAAATGTAATTGTTATTTGTAAACAATGTTTGTAAATCCCAGGCTCTGAAGATGATCTCAATAAAGATCGAAACGTTGGCACGATAAAGAAAATGTTTTTCTGAAATCTACATCACACCAGACCGCATCTCACGATTTCTAAATAAATATTTTGTAATTTGTTATACATTTTTGATACTTGAGTTATGAGAGAGAGAGAGAGAGAGAGAGAGAGTGAGTGAGTGAGAGGAAGAGAGAGAGAACATAATCGACTTAATCATCATTACTGTATCATCTAGACATATTTACCAGCAGAGAATTTCTTTCAGCATGATATCGATAGTCATTTCGATCAAGAGGCCTATATTATATCAAGGAGAAGCAAAGCAGATCAGGAGGTCATAATCGATCAGTTACAGGTTCATCACTTCGCAGTCCTCAAGACGACCATAATAGTTTGATTATTTCAAACTTAATTGAATATCCTACCGTCTATCCTCGTCTGCTCGGTCAGGGTTATAAGGAGGCAATGGCAAGGCAAACCAAGGTAGATGATGTCTTCTTCAACAGTCTTAATTTTTTTGATTGAGTCTAAAATCACGTCTAAAACCTAATGTTTAGCCCTGCCGGGTAAACTCAGTAATTTACTACATATATAGTTTCGAGGTTTGATTTATTTTTGCTGGCTTTGTCGGGCAAAATTTATCAACATTTTACGTATAACAAAATACGGTTCAGATTAATTGATTTCGCGTAAAATAGCGCTCTTTGAAATTGACGTAAAACACACTTTGAGTATTTCATTGGCTAAATATAGGCAAAATCTTGCAACATTTGATAAAATTTAATAAACAAGCGAGTTAATCGGGTTTATTTAATGTCAGCAATCAATACAAAACAAAAAATTAGGCTGATAATGATGCAGTCCAAAAAGAGAACGAGAAAGGACCGAAGGATTCAACACCAAGAACACCTCAAGAAAATATCTAACAATTTGAAATCAGTAAAATTCAATTATTGATCGATCGCGCTGACAATTTATCCTTCCCACAGCTCCTACCGTGACGAGATGTTTTTGTTAAAAGGAGAAGAAAATGATGAGCTTCTTTCTAGGAATACAAAAGGAGCCCCAAGCGAATTGGAGGGTCGAACCCTAATAGCAAGCTCACTCACCTCTCTCACAACTCACTCGGATGATTTACTCAGGGGATCCGATGTAAAGAAAGGATACAGATTGAACATATTCCTCTTTCCCGCGACGGCATAAAACTGAATTTAATCATAAAAATACTGTATACAAGGGATCGGAAACGGTTGCTTCTTCGATCCGCCTGCCTAAAACTTATAGGATTCTTTGGGTTTTAAACTTTTCCTTTATACACTGTCGAATATGGACCGATGAGGAAGAGAAGGGTGGCACTTAGGCGAAACGGAGAGAACGCCTCTTTTCTCCTTTCGCCCTACGGCGAATGCCTTTTCTTCCGTCGACCTCTCCCAAAACCCTGGGACAAATGTCTGTCCATAGAAAAACCTAGGGTGAAAAATCGACTGAGGATCCACTGATGACAATTTTCCCACTCCACATTCTGTCCAGCGAACGAATGGACGCTTATTACTTGACCCTATTAAATTCTATCTGGTTTAGCAGTGGCAATCACTCAACAAAAATAAACCCACTTGTTAAGAGAATATTGTAAATCAGTTTTTAAAAAATTGAAAATAATAATTTTTTATAGACTTGAAAAGGGTTAACACGACGAAATAATTATTTCTACATCCGTAGTTAAACCCCCTTGGAGGATAAATAATAAAAGTTTAAAGCAAAAGAGACATTAGAAATTAGTGTCTTATAAAATGTTATCAATATGTTTCTATTTTAAATATTTTTTACTGACCGGTAAATAAAAATCCTGCAAAGTTGTGTTAAGACTTTAAAAAGTTTGTAATTTTTATTAGGAATGATTATATTGTATGGGGCAACGGTTTAGGCGTATCAAGGTAAAGATCTCGAGTTCGAATCCAGTGGCCCTGCATTCGAATCCGACATACTTTTCAAAAACACCGGCACCCCGAGGGTTGATATAACCTCTGCTGTTGCGAACCCTCGTAAAATAATAATAATAATAATATACTGTATGATAATGATTTTAGTTTGTGATATTTTTCTTGAATTCTTGAGAAAAACATTGGTAAAATTGTCCTTTTATGACAATTTTCATAAAAGTGGTAAAGCTAGCGATCGTTTATATTG